GTCTCTTGGTTGTGTAAGGATTTGAACTTAGACATCTCCAATCCTGGATAAATACAAACCAGTGTATCACACTTATTCACAGAATTAATGGGGATAAATTAGGAGTGAGGAATACTGTGGTGGTTAAGAGGAACTGGCCAGTATAGCAAATGGTGAAGGATTGTAGAATTACCGTCCATAGCATTGGAAGGCTGAAGATTCCACACCCACGGAGCTAAATAGCTATCATGCTTATTCTCATGGCTTCACTATATGAGTCTTCCAATGAGGATGTGTTAGAGCCCTCCAAATGCAGAATAAATGAGCAGCTGCTAGCTCCATCAGACCATGAACCATTAGAGATCTAGCAAACCAGTTCCCTGGATTACAGTATCTCTATGCAGACTGAATACTTGCAGACTGAAGGCATGAGCCTGGATAGAGACTCCCACATGAAGTGCTGGGCTATGGGGAAAGATTGATCAGGAGAAGGCACTCTTTGTGCCTTCTCTTTGAGAGAAAACTCTTTCTCTGGGAATTCACCTCAGGATCATAAAAATACCCCTAATTTAGTCTGGTTTGTAGATTGTTCAAGGACAATGTGTAATACATTTGTGTGTGGAATGTAATTAGATTTCAGATCTGTTGGTAGTACTTATGTTACTTCCCAGACCATCCAAAATCAGAAATTCTTGCTGGGACACTCCATATCATCCAGAGATCAACAAGAATTTCTGGTTTTGGATAATTTTGGGAATAGTGTGAACAAATAACACACACATAACAAGTAACACACATAACATAAGACCTTTTCTTAGTGTACTCTGTGCCCCTTAATGTGTACTGTGGATGATATCTGCACCATATGCTCATGATGTTGCCTGTTATTGGGAAATACTTATCTGATTGTCTGATATACTTACAGTATCTAAGCTTTACATTTTTTTGGTAAACCAATTTGTATTTATGTTTACATATAGGGTATTGTCTAATATTATATTGCATTCTATTAGTTGTATTGTGGGATACTTCTTATTCCAAGAAAGAAACACATGCACCCCAAAATTGCTTTGCTAAAAATCAAGGAAGTTAGTGGATTTGTGTATGAGCTCTGTTTTTGTTCTCGAAAACTAAACCCTGGGCTTCTGCACTATCCTGAGCCACTGTTTTGGACCAAGCTCAAATGATCAGGTGTACCATGGTATCCAAACGAAACACAAAGCAAGCTGCATGAACCTGCATTCAGCCCATCCCTGTTATAGCCAAATCCTGGTCTGGTGGACTGGAGAAGTACTGTGGAGCTGAATGATGGCATTGGCAAATCTCATCATATCTTCTAGTGCAGGAATTTTATTCTTCCTGGATCTTCACTGAGCAAAGGATGCTGGGTGAAGGATAGCAGTACAACCTGGCTGCATCCTGAGGAGGATGTGACTAAAGATCATAACAGTTTGTCCTTTGAACATTTCCTTAGTTTCTCCTGCCCCCACTCCTCCAACGTCCATCTGTCACCATTTCCTTTTTCTCTCCTTCCACGACTGGCGATTTCATCCAGGCAGACTGTCACTTGCCAAAACTGGTATATGGTGGAAGCTGCTTATTAGCTTGTGCTATGTCATTGTGTCTGGTTCAAAATAGTGACAAGTAGGCTCTGGCTCTTCCTAGATAACAGTGTACTTTCTTTAACTCAGGTGGTTGTGAAAGCTGTCATTTGCATCCTCTGTTTTGATGTGGTTCTTGACTTCTTCCTTGTGTCATTATGTTGTTTGTTTATCAAGGAAAGTTGTGCTCTCTAAAGTTTAACAATCCATGAGATGTATGAGTTTGAACTAAGAAAATCGTATTCCCCAGAACATTTTGAAATCATCTCTCTGAGGCAGTGTTTCTCAACATTTAGTCCTCCTGATGCCTTGGATTTCATATCATATTTCCCCCACAAAACCTAACTATTGTCTGTGTTAGCTGGGGCTTCTGAGAACTGAAGTCCAAAATTTGGGAAATCAAAGGCTGAGAATCACTCTTTTTTGGCCTGATTAAGGTGCAGGGCAAGTATCTATGCTCTGTCAGAGGGAAGGATGGAAAGAGGGTTAGAAGGCCAATGGGTTGGGTTGGGGAGGAGGCGCAAAAGACTATGACTCCCAATTTGAGTGTTTGGTCAACAGTGAACAGCAAGGCTGTGATATTGCAAGACTGTTGTAGCCCATGGGTCAAACATGGGGAGTCTGTGTTAAGTTCGTGGCAAGAATCTAGAGTAGGTGAGAAGTTTATTTTATATGTATAACTAAGGCTAGGTACAAAGCTGGTAATAGATCTTACGTTCAACAGAGAAAGTGGGGCAGGGTGGAGAAAGACTGTGTACACAAATGAAGTTTAAAACCTGGGTTTAACTAGGCATATAAAATAATATGTTAACGTTGTTGGTTTTTTTACAACAATTTCATGGAAAATTGCTTGGGAGAAAATCATTACACTTTGGTGAGAAAGCAAAGCTAGCATGTGACTGCAACAGAACCAGCTTCTTGTAGTTAAAAGCTATAATTGCAATTTTTGGAGCAGCAGGGATGGACAGGTATGCCATGCTCGGGGCTTGGAAATGCTATGTTTCTGGACTAGAACCCCCAGAATCTCCAGCCAACATGGCTAGTGGCCAGTCTTGCTAAGATTTTCTGGAAATTCTAATCCAAAAGGGAAATGTCCCTAAGCTGTGGCCCTTTCACCCATGTCTTATCACTTGCACCCTCCCTCCCTCTAGATGTACCATTTCCCCACCTTGGGCCTCAATGTCAGAAATCAGGGTGGCTGAGGGTGAAAATGTGCATTGTCTGCCTATTACACAATGGAATATTCACATTTAAAGTACACATTTTTAAAAAAATGCAAAGAGCACCAATCCTTGATGCTGCAGGTGGTCACCCTAAGGAAGCCTCAGAAGTCTGCAATTAGGAACCAGCCCTTCTCAAGTGGTGGCAGCCTCATTATGGAATTCATTGCCAGCTTAGGTGTGTTTGTCCCCCTCCCTCCATGTGTTCAAAAGACAAATTAAAACATGGTTTTTTAGTCAGGCCTTTGACAACCTCCGCCCTGTAAGGATAGCTCCTTTGCTTATTTGCTATTTAATTATTTGATATTTGATATTTTGATTATTTAAACTGATTCCTTGGGATTTGGTTTTGTATGTTATGATACAAGGGGTTATTGGGGTGGAGTGTTTTTTTTTTCCTGCTGATGTTTTGTTTAGTGTATTTTATTCATGTAAACCACAGAGAGTAGTGGCCTACCACTAGATGGGCAGAGTAGAAGTGAAAGAAAGAAAGATCATTGCATGAAGGCAAATTTAACCCTTTCCTCTTGTGCTGTGATAAACGGACAATGACTTCCTTCTAAGTGTCAGTTTGCTTTAGAATGAAAGCTGTCATTTCCCCCACAACAGCATGTCTTTTAGAGTGAATAGCTTCTGATGAATTATATTCATTTATGACAGGGGTGGGCAGTTAATTTCTATAGGGGGGCCACATGAAAAATCTGAACTGTGTTCGGAGGCCGAACCAACTTTATTTAAAAATAAAATGAAACCGTGATGTTATGATTGTTTTTATTTTAAACTTGTTAATCTTCACAAATACTAAAACAGGTTTTTGCGGTATGTTAAAGATAAGCAACTGATCAACTTTAGACAAAAAGCTATAAATGGTTTTGATGTTCAAAACTGTCCGTGGGCCGGACAGGAGTGGCTCTGATTTAGGACCTTTGCAAAATAGAAAACAGTTAAGCTCATTTAGAACAGTGTTTGTTTTATATATTAAATACATATGCATTGGATGCAAAGATACATTTAATGTAGCATCTCCTTTGGCTAACAGAAATTACCACATGTGAGTGAAGACCCTGTGAGCCAGGAAGCAGGGAGTCTAGGAACAGTTCAGTTCTCCTTCCTCACCCACAGTCTCCTTTGACTCTGAAAATCAGACCTTGTATCCAGATTTTTCTTTCTTTCTTAATATGTGTTTGTGCAGTAAACTCAGTTTCGGGCAGCCAGGTCTGCCCTATGTGAGACAGAGTCTCAGACCCTGGTGAACTGGTTTCCAATGGAGGTGTCTCCTTGCTGCTGCTTTTCATGGAAAAACAACAATGCAGATATAGTGTTTTAAACTGAAAGAAAAATTTGTGGAAGACTCTTCATGGGACTAAAGGAAGGCATGTCATTTAATGCAGGTGCAAGCCATTACGTCCAGGGTGATAGGGGCAGGAGGGATCAAATTCAGTCAAGAAACTTCTAAAATAATTATGTGGAAAAGAAATTTGGGTTTTTTTAACATTATGTGACATTGCTGGTGACAAATTACAATTGCCCAATACAATTGTGCATTTCCCGTTCTTTGTTAGGTTGAGAAATTTCATCCTGATAATATCTGGATAGGCAATGGGGAGGAGAAGTCCCTTTTGGCAATTCTAAAAACTTTTTATTTTATTTTTTTCAGAACAAAAATCACAAAACCAAAGAGCCTGAAATGTATTTTCATCTCCAGATCCCAGGGTTCTTGATCTATTTGGATTAGTCATGTCATTTTAAGAAGTTTTCCAATCATCTGGTGCCTGAATAGTCTGGCTAGGTTTGGTGCCAGCCCACTTACTTTTGGGAAACTTACCATAGGAGAAAAAAAATTGCTATGCTTTGATATGGAAATAATGTGAGAGGTCCCTTTAGAGTGACTGGGGGTAGATAGTACTCCAGATGTTACTGTATTAGAACCCCTTTGAGCTTTAACCAGCATATTCAATGATAAGGCATCATGGGAGTCATGGTGCACCATCATCTGTAGCACCATCTACTCTCCATTCTTACATTGAAAACTGGTAGTTCCTAGCACCTTGTTTTGCAACATTCCCACCTCCCCAGGAATTTTGTTCTTTGTAGTGATGATTACATGATCACTTAGGTGTCAGTTGTACCTTTCTGCATGTTAGCCAACCTCTTCCGACTCTTAATTCTTATTTTTTTCCCCCAAATCCTTATCTTGCAGTTTTGGTTGAAGACGGTATCCAGGGAACCCATCTCTTTCTCTGGGAGATACATGCTGTTTGCTAAGATTGCTTCCACAGTAACATGCACATCCTGTTTACATCTTCACTGGAAGAACTTGGGCTTGGCTAGTTTCACCTGCTTCACCCTGGGAGCTACAGAAAAGGAAGTCCTCTGCTCACCCTCCTCTCCAGCCGGGCTGCTTTAGACAAGATTCTCTCCTCTCCTCTCTCCTCACTTCCAAGAAGTGTTGTTTGTGATGCCCTGCAAACTGTAGAAGTCAGTTGCTTTCTGTGAGGAGTTGAAAAGTTGACAGTGCCTGTTCTTGTTTCGTGGAGGACAAATACAGAAGTGAAAACGTAGCATCCAGTGTTTTGCGTGTGGCTTTTGTTGAATTCACTCAGCCAAGATGACGAACAATTCTGCAGATCACCATCCTGGGAATTCTATGGCTGATGGCAGCCATGAGGGAGAATTTGGTTGCTCTGTTATGGAGCTCCGGAACCTCATGGAGCTTCGCAGTGCCGAAGCAGTGAACCGGATAAATGACAACTATGGAGGAGTGCACAATATCTGCAAGAGGTTGAAGACCTCACCAGTAGAAGGTAAGGAGACATCTCTTGTGGTGTGGTGGTGGTGGGATATTAAAGATTCCCTGGGCTTCAGAGGACCAATGAAAAACAAGTTTGTTGAAGCTTTCCTGTCTGTTCCTGTCAATCAGGAGTTCAAATTCAAAGTCTTGGACCTGTATGCTGAGGCTTGAATCTGTTGTACATCAGTTTCCAGGGAGTGATCATCTGTATATAAAAAAAAATCTACAAGTCTGAAGTGTTCTCTCTTTCCCCCACATCTTTCTTCCCCCCTCACATTGTTGCAAATATAATTTGCTAGACAAATTCAGAAGCGACAGGTGGAGTGTGCCATTGGTGGAAAGAGGTCATTTGCCAAACTAATCTCTATAAAATAGACTGGCATCGAGTTAAGTTTCTCAGGTAGAATGTTATTTAATTGGTTGCATGGGTATCTCTTCAGCCCTACTGTGAACCTCTAAGTACAGTAACAAGCCAGCAACAAGCAAGGAGGCTGGTTCACCACAATTGTGAGGCTTTTGAAAACTGTTTTTATTTCCTTCACTTCTCAGGGTAACTCCTTTGCTTTAAGTTAGAGAACTGTGTGACTCTTTATCTTGAACAACCCAATTATGCACACCACCATGTTAATTGATATGGGAGTACAAAATCAACCAGTTTTGGATGCCACAGGCAGTAGCCAGCAGCCAAAATGGAAAAGCAGCTGCCATAAACCCAGTGTGAGTTGGATGGCAGACACAGACCCACATTGCTGCTTGGGATTATCTCCCAGGTTGGAATGAGAAATGAAACTCCAGAGCAGCTGAAGGGGCTGTATCTGAAGCACGGCTGATAGCAGAGCACATGTCTCTCCAGACCTGGCACTTCTAATTGTATGTCTTACCTTTCATTGTCCTCTTCTGCCAGTTAGTAAAATTTGTGATGGGTAAATAGTTGAGAAACACAGGAAAAGCAGCAGGATCCCCTTTATTCAATCTGAGCAATGTGTCTCAATTTTAACCTAGTGTTCCTGGTGGTTGTAAATGATTTAAATGCTGGCAGAATCACATAGAGAGTATGGGGTGCAAAATGAAAATAAGTTGGAGTATTTTAACAGCTTGATGGTAGAGTTTGCTCCTGGGGCCCATTATTTTTTGTACACAAACATATTTTGTCTGTGTCTCTGAACAAGCTACTGGTATCTGAAAATCCCGGGCTGCAGTATAAATAGTCCGTGAAATACAAGCTTGTTAGGCATTTTAATTCTTCAAATCTGACTTGGACAGTGTCAAGATTATGGCTGGGCTAGAGAGACCCACACTAACCACTTAGCAACACTGCCCAAACTTTCCTGGTGTGAGTAAATTCCAGGAGGGCCAGATGTGGGATGGCTGGTGAAAATGTTAAACTCCCAACATTCTGAGTCACCCTGACTTGACTACTCAGTATTCCAGGAAGTTGCTCAAAATACAGAAGACTAAGCATTTTACTACACTAATCCTACTAGGTAGGACTACCAAAATATCATTCCACTTTCTAGACCTTTTGAGGGGATGCACCAATCAGACATCAGACTGCTTCAAACCTTCTTGAAGAAGAGAGTAATTTCTCGAAAGTAACTTCAGTTTCTCCTTCTCCCTTCTTCTCAGCTAAAACTAGTCTTGTTGATGTGAGCTTTTTGTTGATTTCACTTTGATTTAAATTGACATTGGTGTGGTAGCATAGATCCTATTACAAATCGTACTGGGTTGCAGAAGAGTTTATCTCCTTGCTTCAGTTTATTGTACTCCAAAGATGTAGATTAAAGTGATGTGAATCAGACATTGTTTTGCCTTTCTTTCGAGTAGTCTTTTGAATTCACCATTGTTTTGATTTCATGTATGCATGGACATATGTTTTAGTCAGCTTTGGAGAGGGTCTGGCAAATTTGATTACTCTGTGCCATGATGTACAAATTCAAAATCATTGCCAGGATGAAAAATAAGAGAAAATATAACATGCAGATGTTGGTTGTCAGACATGCAAATGTGACACTATAAACTCATCAGCAGAACATTTTAAAAAGTAGTGGGAGAAGGCATGTCCCAAATGAGTGGTCTGAGGATAAATTAATGTGGAAGGAGGTGATGGAAATAGCTCATACTGTACAGACCAAGCTAACTGGTTTCTTCATCAGAAATGAAGTCCCACATGTCAGAGGGGGAAAGTCAGGCCTTTCCTTCACCTTGTATCATAAATGCTGAAAAGAGAACATGGAATATATGAACATGGAATATACCGTATGAAAAAGTGTAGCAGCCTCATCAGTCCAACCAATTTAGAAATCCAGAGTAAATTATATAAGAAGGATGGAGAACTTCTTTCAGCCCAAGAGCAAATTTCAGTTTTAGAAAACCATTCAGGGTGTTTCCAGTTACAGGCAGGGCCAAAGGAAAAAAAGGGTTGTTATGAAAAATGCTCACATATTTTAGCCTAAGGCTCCTATTGACAGCAACTAAGCCTTAGGCCAGGCCTTTCAGTTGTTAAAAAAAGTAGAAACCACTAAACCATAGACGGCATGCCCATGATGCTAAGAGAACTAGAATTGACACTGGGCCAGGGGCTCCATGTTCCTCTTCCCTATGATAAAACACACTTGTAAATTTTGGTCATCTAGGTACAAGCCTGGATGACCAAAAGCAAGAGTAATCCAGAGTTCCTTGTCAAGCTGAAATCAAAAGCCAGAAGCTGTGGCAGTGGATGAAACATATGATTTGCCTAAATTGCTAGCTTTCCTTTACAGTGCCCCAACAAAGAGCTCTGTATAACTTTAAAGGATTTTCATTTTTTTCAGCAAATAGTTGACACAACGAAAAGGGAAGGTCTTGATATAGAGGATAGACAGTTTATATAGAACAGCTAAGGATTCCTAGGAGGAAAGGCCACAGCAAACTAAAAAGAAACAGACCACCAGGCTCAGCCAGTTATCATGCAGCACAAGGAGGCAACCTGTGGGGGATGATAGCTGCACCAAGAGGGGTGAGACACCAACATCTACCCTTTTCTGCACTTTAAAAACTTGTGGGTTATTATTAGCTCTCTTGTTTGGTGGTGTAAGTGGCAGATTAGCATATTTCACAGCTGCAATTGGGAACAGGAAGTGGCAGGGCGAAGACAATCTAAAGATGTAATTAAGCAAGGGAGGCTGTCCTGGTGAAGATGCCAAATCTGGATCACAGAGGTCTGTGTTTCCTGTGCCAAGCAATGAGAGAACTGGGAGTGGTCAGTGAATGAGCCATGGTCCAGTGTAATTGTGTCATCACAGGAGCAAACTAGATCTGTCTTCATTGTTATTGTAGTTCTGTGCCCTCAAGTCGTTTCCATCTTACAGTAGTCTTGTGAATTAGTGAGTTCCAAAACATCTTGTTATTAACAGCCATATTCAGATCTCAAAAATTGAGGTCATGGTTCCTTAATGAAATCAAACCGTCTCATATGTAGTCTTCCTCTTTTCCTGCTGCTTCAACTATGGCCTAGCTCATTCTGTTTGAATTGATACTCATTTTTCATTTAACCTTCTCTCTTGACTGCAGAGAATTCCCATTTCAGGCTAGAGTCCTTCTGGAGCATTTTGACTAGGTGTGATCTACATGAAAATCAGGAAGCAGAGAGTCAAATCTGTGGATGGAAGGATCCAAACACAGACCAGATGCAAGGCCAGATACCAAGCAGGAATTTGGGGGAGGACTACAGGTGGATAGCAGAGCAGCCTTTGAAATATCACTTTACATTTGTAATCAGTTTTGTTTTCTCCGTGTGTTGTATTCCCATTTTAATTGGCTTTCCCCCATTTCATTGTTTGGCAGCAGGTGGGAAGTTGAGTAGGCTTGCCTTAAATATGAGATACTTCTAAACTTTTTTTAAAAAAGGGTGTCGTGTACTATGACCAGCTAAGACCAGGCTGGCAACCATGTCCATGAGTCACAGCAGCTAAAGCAGTGTGATGCTGTAGCCATTGCAGAAGGTATCATTCTTGTCTGTAGATCTACTCTGTCAGTGTCTCTAACTGCCAATAACCCATCCAGTCCCTAACATCTTTTGTAAGAGGTCTGCCTTAGGCTAACAGAGTATGAGGAATATGGCATAAAAGCATTTTCTATGCATTCTCTCCTTTAGCACTAATATCTTCTGAGATCCAAAGCTTGAAAGCTCTCCAAAAGAATTCGTTAATATTAGTGTTAGAAGCCCCCCTCTAAAGAAATGCCAGTTACTTGCTCTTGAAACTCATTACTTTAAAATGTTGAAACCCTTAGTTTTGATAAATAGGAGAAATGGTCGCAGATGCCTGTTAAAATGCCTTTAATATGTAATTTAAAGGTAACTAGAAGATGTTACTTGCTACAGCAGAAAGGTTATTCCTGTTCTTTATAGCATATTTGAAATCTACTATTGTTATACCCCTGTCCCACCAACCAAGTAACTTCTTATAAGCGATGGCATTACATGTAACTCATGACTTTCAGGCTCTGTTCAGATCTCAGATTGGCCTGTGGTGTCCGCTGAACAGTGGGGGCCAAGATGAGTTTAAACATGTCAGCAAAATAGGCTAATCATTGGTCTGCCTACATCTTTTCCAGTGTTCTGGCCAGCAAATCTGCCCCCTTCTCTCACACTTCTGTTCCCTCCATCTCCTTTGGATTATGAAATGATCTCACTTTGGCTTTATTGCTGCTAACTATTCTCAGTGCATTTGAGGTTGTTGCAAAATAACTCAACAGGCAAAAGTCCCACGTGCCATAGGCTTTTATGTGTTACCTGCTCTCTGCCATTGCTCTTCTATCCATCTTCTATCCATTTTTCTCTGTCCCACATTTTGACCTTCACTGGTTGATGGAAGGTTCCCTGTAATGAAGCATTGCCCAGTCATTGATATCCTGGTGTGAACAGGCATTTTCTGTGGACTAAGAAGATAATCTGTTACATCTTCCCCACTTCATCCTATACCATCTTACTCTCCATTTCCAGGGCCTTCAACCTTGTTTATATAACCTTCCAGG